TCACATATTGAGCTGTTGCGCCTCCGCTTCACTCGGTAGCTGTCACGCCCAGAAATTTAGCCCAAATTTCCAGACTATTTTGTGTATTAAATCCCTGTCCAGGACTAGCCAGGGTACACAAAACGACAAGTAATATACAGTTCCAAACGTAAATAAAAGCGTAAATACTTACAGAAGAGGCACTTAGTCCTCACACCGAAACGAAAGCAACAGCAGCGGAAAAAGGCAATCCTAGTGGGGCTTCAGCTCCACTCCACAGGCAAAACTCAACTGGGTCTGAGTCTTGGTCTTCTAACCTCGTCTTCAGCTCAGAAGCACTACACTTCTGAAAAAGGGGAATAATAGCAAGGCTGAGTACAACCACCGTACTCAGCAAGCCACACCAACGATGCATTCGTGCAAGGGGATACAAGGACGGTTTATGGCTATTTGCATAAAGGCGGTTGTGAAACATTTTATTGAGCAAATAGTAAAACAGTAGAGTAATTAAAGTAACATTAAATCTCCACTGATCAATGCTACGCCACGTTGAACAGGCCCAACCAACCCACCTGAACTACAGTGCATTGAGTCGGTTTATTAAGGTGGGACTAATCATGGTGAATCTGGTCGACCGCCCATAACCACGGGCACGGCTATTCGAATAGTTTTACTCTGATCAGAGGTGTACAACGGTACCCACAAGACACAGCTCCACGACACGTTCCCGTGCGCCGACATGCCACCACGACATACCGGAAAGAGGCCGTGACAGAACCTTTCGCATAACCCCCTCTAGCCAAGCACACCACACCTCAGGTTTCACCCCCGTCCCCAGCGGGCAACGGGCAGTCCCCTCTCGTGCCTAGGTGAATCCGGAAGCGACAGAGGCCGTCGCAGGGCCCGCCCCGCTCCATCACGCCCACCCTTGCCTAGATGCGTCAGCTAGAGGAAAGCTACACTACAAGCCCAGTCGTTGCCCACGCTGGCTTGTGGTAAGTACGAGGAATTCTTCCAGGGTTTCCCGCGAACTGGTCCTTAATTGCCATGTGTGCGACTAGCAAAACCATGCACCCACAGCCCACCATTCAGTCGTATTTTAGTTGGATAATTACGACCATGAAGCATGTCCAGATGTCTCGAGCACGCAGCTCATTCTGATACTAAAAGGTCTAATACTGTAATTATCCCATCAACTGAGCTAGTGGTAATTAAGCATGGCTAAGCATATAGTTCTAGCTAGGTCACATAAGTAATATGAGCTAGTCGATTTATTACCCAATATTGACAAAGGACAGATATCAAGTAAACATGGCACAAGCGAGCAGATAGGTAAACCCTATTCCCATGTAATTAGCAAGACATGCAATTTTATTTGCAAATGATAAAACATTTGTAAATTAGGATCAAAATGCTTAAGGGGAATGTGTGACTTGCCTTGCTTCTTCAAACAATCTTCTGAACTCTTATCCTTGCGATCGCGATCTTCCGAAACGACAGATTCTACACGCTGGCAAGCAAACCAAGGAAAAACTCTAATAAAAACCAAGGAAACAGTACATGAAAAGTAAACAAACATGTAGAGCTCAATTTTAGATGAATTTTGCAAGTTGAATGGCTCAATTTGGAGTTCGAATGAATTAGATATGGATTTTAGAAGTTTTGAGCCGTTTAAATGAATTTCTAGAATTATTAACGAATTTATTGCGCATTAATGATTAATTTCTCAAAGGAAAAGGGACGCGCTGACGTCATCAAAGAGGCCGGCGCCGATAGGAGGGCCCCACGAGTCAGCGGCGCAAGAGGAGCGGCCCGCGGTGGACCGAGAGTCCACCGCGGCACAGGCGCGGGTGCACCACATGGACGGCCACGTGGCGGCCACGGCAGACAGGCGGCAAAGGTGGCGCCGACATGGCGCCACGAGGGCACTGACATGGGGCGGTGCCGAACGGCCATGTGGACGGCCCAGATTCACCCGGGGTGAATCAGGCGGCCACAGGCGGGCGGGAGCCGGCTCGCCGACCGGCCGGCCGGGAAGCGGCGGCGTGCGGCCCGATGGTCGCCGGCGGTGACCACCGGCACGGCGGCACGCGCGGGAGAGCGGCGGAGAGCGGTGGGAAAGGGGAGGGGGAGCTCACTGAGTAGCACACGGCGGAAGAAGGTGGCCGGCGGCGAGATGGCAACGGGAGGCGGCTACGGCGGAGCTCGGGGCGGACGGAGACGATGACGCTCTGGCGACGGGCGGCGCTCAGGAAGAGGCGGACGAGCGGCAGCTGCACGCTAGGATGGGAGGGGAGGTGTTAGGGAGGACGGGGCGGCGACGTGGCCGGCCGGAGCAGAAAGGAAGGGGGGAAGGGCTCACCGGCGCACGGGAAAACGGACGTCCAGAGAGTTTCCGGCGATGGGAAAAGGTGGCCGAGGTTCTCCTTGTCCTTGTGGAGCAGAGAGAGGTGACGGCGTGGACCAAAGCGGTGTTGCGACGCGGCTGGAAGTGGCAATGGCGACGGATAGAGGTGGTGCGCGTGGCGGCGGCGTCCCGGAGGTGGAATGGGAAAATGGAGTAGGGGCCGGGGTGGAGATCGACACGGCGATGCCGATGGTGGTGTCGGCGCGGCTCGGTGGTGGCTAGTGCGGCGGGAGACGGCGGCTGGCTGGAGCACGCCGGTGAGTGGTGGGGAGAGGGAGCGCCGTGGGGAGGTGGTTTCGGCGACGCAATGGGGAAACGGAGGGGTTGCCGGGGTATGGCACGACGCGGCAAAGCCGCTGGTGGCGGTCGCGCGGAGCGGCAGCGGCAGGAGCAGCGGTGGCGACCGGCTGGAGGATCGCCGGCGAGCGGCGGCAAGAGGTGCGACGGTGGCGGGGTGGTTTTCGTGCACGGGAAGGTTCGGGAGAGAGGGGAAAATGGAGAGGGAGGTGCGGGGAATGCTTTTATAGGGGAGGGGAGGTCGGACCGAGCTCGGGAGAGGCGGAGTCGGGGTGGCAACCGCCGGCGGCGTGGGCGGCATCGTGGGGTGTGGGTGGCAGTTTTGGAGGGGAGAGGTGGGGGATGAGGAGGACGTGGGGCGGCGGGGTCCCACGGCCGGCGGACTCGCGCGCGGGGTGGAGAAGGAGTGCGGAAACGGCGGCGTCGTGGGGAGGCTCGGGCGGCCATGGCAGCGGTTGGAGCCGGAGGAAGGGGATGACAGGTGGGGCCGCCGGTCCCACCTGTCGGCGAAGGGAGAGAGGAAGGGACGCAAAACAGACTTTTTGCGAGGGAGGATAGGAGGGAGGCCGAGCGGGCCGAGGGAGGGGAAAGGGAGGCCGGCCTAGCCGGGAAGGAGGAGGGAGGGAGTTGGGCCGAGCCCAAAAAGGGAGGAAAGGGATTTAATTTGTTTTTCTTTTTCTTTAAATTGATTTAGCGAACTTTGTGGCATTAAAATTATTTCTTGAGCTCCGAAAATTTACGGAAAAATCCGGAGAGTGAATTAGGGCACAAAGAATATTACAAAATATTTCCGGCCAATGATTTTTAAAAGGAAATTTTAATTCTCCCATTAGTTCACTTGATTAAATTGATTTAACTTTTATTTAATTCATAGAAAATGTATTATTTAATGATTTTTAATTCCGATCAAAAATCGGGGCGTTACAGTAGCTGACTGTCGTATTATCGTTGCCGTCGCGGCATCACCGCCAAGAGACACCGCCCGCGCACTGCCTCCTACCCTTCTTCGGCAAAAGTAGGGGTGAAAACGGTAACGGTAATTACCGGCCGACCGGCGTTCGTTTTCGACTTTCTACCGGCCGAGCCATATGGAAATGGTAATCGACCGAAACAAAAATGGAAATGGTAAAAAATATGGAAATGAAAACGGAAATGGTTTTGCTGTTATACCGATCGTTTCCGTATTTACTGTATTCTCGCGGAAATTACCGTTTCTTATAATATGGTAATTACCGTATTCTAAATATGTCGATATTATAGGACATGTCTATACTTGACCCACAGCTTATAGATTGAATGACTCTTCAATAAAATCTCTAACTTTTGTACATGGCTAAAATGAAGTTAATTTATAATTTATATAGTATAAGCTTGAATTTATGTATATATATATAACATACTTATGTAAAGTTAAATATATGTTTTTATAGTTTAATGTTTCCGTATTTGTTACCGGTTTCCGATCTGTACCGACATGTTTCCGTTCGTATTGTTCCGTTTCCGGTTTTCCGATATTTCCGATATCGTTTTCGTTTCCGACTTTACCGTTTCCGATTTCGTTTCCGAGAAAAATATGGTTACGGAAATGGTTGAGGCTGTTTTCCGATCGTTTCCGACCGTTTTCATCCCTAGGCAAAAGTGGCACGAAACCAAAAGTTTCGCACCTCCAGTGACACTTTTGCAAAGACACACAGATTGGGTGGCAAGAATTCAAAGGCACACAAATCAGATGGCATATCCTCAAATTTCTTAGGCCACGGTCCCGAAACACATATGGCCTTGGTAGGTCTTGCAATACGGCAATACCTAAATACTTGACCTTTACTTTATTTCCTATCCTTAATCCAAAGATTGTAGCCAGACTGCGTACTCAGTTTGTGATTTCCCATCTTTTCAAAATAAAATAAAAGATGCTTATTTGTGAGATTATTGGTAGTTTACCTCGAGAGGATTTAGCAATAAGGACTAGTTTCAAACTACCACTGATTATTAAAAGTTACCGGGCTTACCGCGGGGGCACGGTAATATAAATACCGCGGTAACCTCCTTAAATTCAAATAAATTTTAAAAATAGTTTGAATTTTTAATAAATTTTGCGCGGTTTTATACGGTTTTTCACGGTTACCGCCGGGGCGCGGTAACCCCGACCTCGGCGGTTTGGGAAACCCTGGTGCCATCTCACCTTCCCATAGTTCATACTGAGGCCCAAGATAGAGCTAATTCAGCCCATCGTAAGCGATATGAAGGGAGGGAGGAAACAGCGGTTAGATGGATGGATAATCCGATAGGCGACCGAACCAACGGCCCACCGGCTTCCACGTACCCAACCAAACAAGCACCTCCTTGCCTTGCGCCATCCCTGACAGCACAGAGCACTGACACCACTCGGCTATGTCGCCGGAGCGGAGCGGAGCGAGCAAAGAGCCAATGGCCACCGTGGTGAGGGCATGCATGCCGCTGCCACCTGCCGCCGTCGCCTCCTCATCCGCCGCTCCCTCCACGGACGCGCAGGCGCAGAGGAGGTCCTCCTCCTCCAGCGCGCGCGTGCTCGTGCTCGGCGGCACCGGCCGCGTCGGCGGGTCCACCGCCACCGCGCTCTCCAAGCTCCGCCCCGACCTCAACATCCTCATCGCCGGCAGGAACCTGTTGGTGCCCCCTATATGCTATGCCTCCTCCGCACTAGTCTGTTACTCAATTTCCTCGTCTGTTTTAATCTGCAGAATGAATTTACTTCACTTGTGTTGCAATTTCTTACTTTTGAACGAATGCAAACCACACCTAGCCAAGTAGCCATTTTGTAGTTCACTTCAATAGTGGGAACAATTTCTTTCTTCTGTCAATAGCATCCTGGCTGGATGCCTGCAATATTGTGCAGTTCCATCTGTACAATGAGACGATTATAGTAGCATGACCATTTGTCGAGTATCCTTTTTTTTTGGTCAGGGAGAAAGGTGAATCTTTGGCATCTAAACTCGGGGATGAATCAGAGTTTGTCCAAGTAGATATTCGCGACAGGAACATGCTGGAGGAAGTGCTACAGGGTTAGTAATGGAACTACCTGCTTATGTTGTGCTTTTAAGTTGGAACACCGGCCGTATGATTTCAAAAGATTGTTGCAAATATTTTGAAAAGTCATCCACAAACTTCTTCTGATGTTTGACCATTCTAGTTTTTCTTTTTTTGCCCCAGATGTGGATTTAGTTGTTCATGCTGCTGGACCTTTCCAAAGGGAGAATGAGTGCACTGTCCTACAGGCAGCAATAGCGACCAAGGTTAGAAATGTGCAACGCCTGATCATCAAATGCATAAGTTTAATAACACGTTGAAATTAGTGACATCCTTAACTTTTTTTTTTTTACAGACGGCATATATTGATGTTTGTGATGATACAGACTATTCGTGGAGAGCAAAGGGTTTCCATGAACAAGCAAAAGATTGCGGTATCCCAGCTATTACAACTGCCGGCATCTATCCTGGAGTGAGCAATGGTCTTACTTCGCATTTCTATCAAACATATCAGTTTACTTTGATATTTTTCAAGTTACACTGTCCAGATATCATCATGTGCTCTTTCACAATTTCCATCAGTACTCATGGATAGTATCCATTGCTCTTTGAGGCAGTTTACATATGTGTAAAATCACCAACTTGATTAGTGTCATGTATTAATATGAAGATTGAAGATATCAAATACATAATAGAGAGTTAGAGACATGATCTAGCAGTAAACTATGAAGACAATGTTTTGATCTAGCTAGGTAAGCTTCATATCTTAATTTTTTGAGTGCTTAGAAATACACTGTTTTCTTCTTTTGGAACAGTGATGGCTGCTGAGCTTGTTCATGCTGCTAGAAGTGAAAATGCTGGTGAACCTGAAAGATTAAGGTTAGGAGTTATTTATTTCCTGGAAAAATTAAAGGTCAAACTAGTCATGAAGTATGGAAAGCGTTGTCGTATTCATCAGAATCTATGCTAGTATGTTGCTAAATCCTTTTTCTAGATTCTTTTATTATACTGCAGGCACTGGTGGTGCTGGGCCAACAATATTAACAACTAGTTTTCTGCTTCTTGCGGAGGATGTAATCGCATATAACAAAGGTACTTTTCAATAATTTATTAGTGCACTTATAGGATTTCTCTATGAGGAAAATCTAAGTTTTGTTCTCATTACAAATTCAGGAGAAGAAATAAAATTGAAGCCCTACAGTGGAGCTCTCAGCATTGATTTTGGCAAAGGGGTTAGGAAGAAAGATGTTTACTTACTGTAGGCACTGAACATTAATTACTTTTTGAGATCTTACCACAATAAGGAAAAACCACTTTGGTTAGAATTCAAAATGGAAGCTAATAAATTTTATATTATGCCACTAATTCCAGGAATTTGCCTGAGGTGAAGAGTGCTTATAAGGTTTTAGGTGTGCCTACTGTCAGTGCTCGCTTCGGTACTGCTCCTTTTTTCTGGAATTGGGTAATGCAGGCCTTCGCAAACTTTTTACCTGTTGTATGTCTTACTTCTCAAATTATGCACTATCAAGTTACTTCTTTCAGACACAACCGGTGCTATTAGTATTCTAGTACTAGTAAACTCTACTAAAAAAATAGAAGTTTTAATTTTTAAGCAACCAATTGCTTACATTTTATTTTATTATTTAATTATGTAGTTGGTGAAATCAACTAATACTATTATTACTGTTAAAGCAACATGGTTTGCTTGTTTTCTGCTGAAATCTTAAAAATGGGATAATATTAAACTGGTGATTTGGTGCTAATGCGGATTACACCTGACTGCAACTTGTTCGTGTTCAGGAATTCTTGAGGGATAAAAATAAGGTTCTAAAATTGGTTGGATTTGTTGATCCTTTTGTCCGAGCTATCGATGGTATTGCTGGAGAGCGTGTTTCCATGAGAGTAAGTACCTAAAGCTGTGTTCTCGAGGTGAGGTTGGGAACTCACCTCATGCACACGCAAAATTAATTATTTACTTTTTTTGAAAAAATGGATTAATATGATTTTTTAAAGCAACTTTTGTATAGAAAATTTTTGCCTGTGTGTTTTAGAAGTACTAGTTCCTTCCAAGGCTTCAAGCTATTTCCAGAGTTAACTGCATACTCTTTCAAGCTGTGGCCAGAACAGGTATTTGAATGCCAGTTTTAAAATATTTGTTCAGCCAATTTTTCTTCAGTTTTTTAAAATAATTTACTTTCTAAACTTTGATTTGATCAATTATAAGATTTGATTTTATCACTTCTTCAAAAAGGGAGCGAAGTATGGACCATGTAACTCTCAATATAGCCATCGATTTCCACAAAATATTGGTCCACTGAGACTATTGTTTTTACTAGTTACTGGCCAAGATTTGTTTCCTTGGTCCAGGTTAGCAGCCTAGAAGCATACTACTTCTAGTATTTTCCTCAAGCCATACCTGGAGTAAGAGTAAATTAATTATACTCAAACTTTGTCCAAAGTTGTATATGTAGCTACTGATCACTACCTTTTGATCAAATTTATTTCATTTATATGCAGGTAGACTTAGATTGTTCAAATGGAAAGAATACTATTGGATTATTTTCTCATAGAAAACTATCTGTGTAAGTAGACACTTCTGCACAAGCAGTTGAGCATTCTCAAGGTCCATTACCTAATTGATATTTACCATATTAGTCATCAAATATCAAGACTTATTTTAAAAAATAACTATCACATTTTTTGCCCTAGATCGCAGGAAGCTTCACATAGGTGCTCTCTAAATGAGACCCCAGTTTCAAAAACTTACATGCTATGTATAAGAGTTTCCTTTTATTCAAAAAGGGATTCCTGAGAAAACCATGTAAACCTGTCCTCATTTAAAAGCTAACAGGGTATCTACTTCCCAGAGTGATTATTCCTTAACATTTGAATGATGCAGCATTTTTGTAATGCTAACACCCTAAATCCTAGGAATTCATACTCAAAACTTGGAGCGATCTTACTACATGGTTGTTTTGAGAAGTTCCGATTTACTTTGCAGTTTTAAATTTTAAGAACAAACAAAATCATTTGGTACAACTATCTGCATTGCATCTTAGCATTAATTTTTATTGGATTTTCAGATCGGTGGGCTATGCAACAGCAGCGTTTGTTTTAGCAGTTCTTGAGGGCAGCACACAGCCTGGCGTCTGGTTTCCAGAGGAGGTTAGTGGTGCACTAATGGGAGGACAAAATAACACACTAGTCGACACAATATATTGTTTTAATTTTCTAAAATCACCACTTTTATTCATAATGCAGCCAGAGGGAGTAGCAATTGAATCAAGGAAGGTGCTTCTTGAGCGGGCGTCTCAAGGAACAACGATCTTCGTGATGAACAAGTGATGTCCTCTCTGCTCAATTTCAACACCCATTAGTAAGCTAATAATCAATACTGAGTATGCTAGCTGACACAATACCGTAAATTTTGATTGACAGGCCTTCCTGGATGATAGAGACTGATCCAAAGGAAGTTGGCCTGGGAATATATGTGTAGGGAAATAATATGTTTCACTCACTATATAGAAGTTTACAGTTCCTAATTATAATTTTGACGGTGAAATCTTAGCACTTACTACAAAGTTCTTGGGTATGAGCAAGAGCAAGAGCGACAAATAGGACAGGGCAATGAGCAAGTAAAATCTTATCCATTTTCAACCAGGCACCTCTGTCTCTTTGTTAATCGCACTGTTCTGAATGTGGCTGTAAATAATAGAACGAATTTGTAATGCTCTAAGAGTATGGAGTGGATCATTATCTAAAAAAAAGAGTATGGAGTGGATGAATGAAATGATTGGAGCGCAATACAACCAAACGAGGGTTACAGTTTTGATGAAGTATCCTTAGTGCCTGTTATTGTCTTAGCAGAAATGTATTGAGTTTGTGACTTTGTGAGGTCTCTAAAGAATTCGTTACATTCCAAGAGCATTAATGCATCCACCGAAATGAATTATCCGTAGCAATTTTGGTCATCGTGTTTAGCATCGACTTGTGCAGCCTGTGAATTGAAGTAGAAGGGCATATATATATTTCTCTGTTCTGCTCTTGCCTCTGTCTACAAAATTCCACGTATTCTTTAAAAGCAACGGAAGCTAAATAACATTTGTGGGTGGGTGTAGGGGGTAAACATCAACTTATCTCGTTCTATACAGATTGCTGAGACTAAGATATCATATATACCTATGTAAGCTACGAAGAGCTGATGATAGTTCGTTAGCATTTTATCATTACCTACTTTACATTTCAACTCTGACATAATTCGCATGTTCAACAATGGCGATCCTCGTACTGCAGCTCTTGTCCGACTATGATATGCATTCTACATCACCATTGATGTTGCAGGAAACAGCCTGTCCAGTAGGGTATAAACCCCTCCACCCAGTAGAAATGCACCACTACCAAGCAAATGGCAAATGTTAGCGCAAGGCGTTAATCCAAAAAAAATAAAGTATAAAAGGCAGATTTTTTAAAGAAGGAATGGCTTATATTTTTTTAGAGATCTTTCTCTTTTTTTTTTTAAAAAAAAGAAAGAACACGAATGCTTCTGAGGAATTGGAACTGTGCAAAGCACATGACAGAATTGTGGCAAGAAGTTTAGAACAATATCTTAACAAAAGAATATTAAATGGATGATAAGGTAAATTTGATGTGCTATATTCTCCCAAAAAAGCATGCCAAACAAATGTGATTTCAAGCTCTTTGAACCAAGACAGTGAAATTGTAGCGAATGCTATCAATTAACAAATATGGATTTTCAGTGTTTCCTTTGTAAAAGGTAGTCAAAAAATTATTACTATTCGTACAGATAATTAATTGCAACGTGCAGGTCTTTTGCAATCAAATTACAAACCAGGAACCTCTCAAGATCCAGAAAGAACTAAGGCACATACCTGATTGGGTTTATCCATGCAGAATATCTCCTGAAGGAAAGCAAACTCTACAGAAAGCAAATAATTTATCAGGCACTAAACTTAAAATGAACAGGTGTTGTTGTTCTAGGATATGCGCTGTTAAACTGTTAGTCAAGTCTAAGTGAGATTTAAAGTTCCATATTTGATGGCACTATCTTATCTATACTTAACAGATGTGTATATCAGAAGACATTTATACCTGCAGTGCTCCAGCAAAAGAAGCTGCAATGAGAAGAGGTGCAACATAGCCAGTTGTATAAGTCAATAACAAACTTCCCCCAACAATCGGATCCTGACAGAAAATGTATCGTAATCAGCATGTCAGAAAATTAATAAATTAGGCGAACATAAACTTCTTGCCAACAATTATGACAGATTGCTAAGTCAAGTGTAACATATATTAGAAACAAAGAAATCAACATTACTGCATATCATAAGGTATGTGATTCACTAACTTTAGTAATTAAAGACACTATGGTAAAATTTATGACAGTTTTACTGTTTTGAAATTTAAGAAAAAGTAATAAAATATTAATGTAACTTATGAATGTTCCTGTTATGCATACTCTTGAAGTGGCAACATATCCCAGAAGGGTAGCAAGAACAGGTGTACTGCAAGGTGATGCTGCTAATGCAAACGTAAGTCCGGCAAGGTATGCTTGTACACCTATAGGGAAACAGCAAGATATCATTTACCGTAACTGAAATAAACATAATGAGGCATATGGTACTTTGATACAAAATAGAAAATTATGTCAAAGCATTACTGGAAGGGAGGTTAGCTGCAGCAGCTCGAGGGTCATAATCGCTGAAAAATGAGGGAAGTTGTAGCTCAATTACCTGTAAATACAAGATAACCAGCATAGAGAACAGTTTAAGGCAGTGAGCTAATATCTACTATAACAGGAGTGATACACATTTCATTGAAATAAATTACCATCGCAGCAAAGGATTTACAACTATTTATAAAAGGAAAACCATCAAATCAACCGATACTTGATTTGAATTGTGGCAACAAGTTAGCTTGAAAAATTAATTGGCATGCTCCGCTTTATGAGTTTTCACATTGGATCATGAATTTACCTCAAGAAGGTTCAATCCCATGATAACTGCTAACCCTGAAGCAGCCACTGGAAGTCCTTGTCCTACCTGCCCATAGGCCTTTCCAGCAAAAGAAGCAGCAACACCAAGGATGGCTAAGGTTGTTGCCAGTCCTAATGAAAAAGCAACTGAATTTCCAACAACCTAATATATAGAATGGAAACATATCAATTTACATCAAGAATAACATGGATGAAGTTTGTTTTTTCTACATGGTGAATGGATGTTATGACATACTATGAGGTTTTGGGTATACATGTTCTATTTAATTTCTATAAGTTATTTTATAAATAACAGAATATACCTCAGATCGATCTTTGCCCGAGCCAAAAGCACCTGAAAGATTTTAAAGAATGTGTCATCAGATCAGTGCCATCAATTATAACTGATCCCGGGCAACAAAAAAACAGCATCTCAAAAGGTAGTCGCTATACTTACCTATATATCCTAGAGTCAATGGCAGAACACTGAGTGTACAAGGAGACAAACTAGTTACAAGTCCAGCACCGAAAATTACAGCCAAGCTAATAGAGAAACATGTCAGAAAAGAGATGGACAGAAACATAAAATATAATGAAAGAAAGTAAGTAAACAGATTCTGTCTATAGGCAATTGACTGCAGGGGCCGAAAAGCTAACCTAGTGAAACTAAGAGCAGACAGCTGATCCTGAACAGCTTCGTTGGCTTGCTGACCCGCTGAATATAGCAAATTTCCAAACCAATCTCCAACGCTAAGGTCAGCCAAAGCAAGTCCAGATGACCCTAGCTGATCACAATAAAATTTTATGCATGTATTAGCTATATGCCCTCACAATGTAATAAAAAGGAATATACGATATTGCTCTTTCCTATGACAGATAACTACACTGCTGACTACAATTCACAATTGTTTCTACGCAGTAGTACAATTTGACATGTTAAAATCACAACTTGACACAGGCATCACGAAATCTTTTGTGATCAGCAAGAAGGGGACAGAAAATTCGAAGGCACATAGTGCTCCCTCACCAGAGAATCCCCAATTTCTGTAGCATTTGCAGCGCCAGCAGCAACCAGACTCCCCACTGAGACCAAGAAACACCACTCACTAACGTCAGAGACATTTCATCAAACAGATTGCCAGCGATAGAACACATGAAGGGAGCAGTCAACAGCTAACACTCTACCCGCCACGGTCGCCAGCAGCATGGGGCGCTGGCGGACGAGAGAGCACCTCGCCGCGGCCTCCAATCTCGCTCCACGAATCGCTGCCTTGGAAACCGAGCTCCCGCGCTCGCGGGGCACACCCACGAGCACACCCGTACCAGGGGACGAGGAGGTGGAGGGCTTGGAAGCAGAAACCTGCGCCGGGAGGCATGGGCGGCAGGTGGAGGTGGTGCTACTGACGGGGCGCGCGGCCATGGCGACGCAGAGCATGGAGGAGTGGAGGGAGAAGAGGGAGAAGAGACGCTGCTGCTTGGGTCAAAGGGAGAAGAAGGCCACACGCCCGCGAGGAGACGTATAGCCTTCGATGGGCCGGGGGCCCACGAGTCAGTGCGACGCAAGCAGCTTCATCTTTTGGCTTCATTTAAAGCTATAGCTTTCTCCGGCAAGCCGTCGCCTCAGCTCATCTCACTGTTTGCGAAATTGCGGCGGCGGCGCCCAATCTCGCGGTGCAGGGGCGGCGCCTAGTTCCATGGCGAGATAGCATTCCGGTTTGCCGGAGGAGATTGCCGTCAAGAGCGAGAGAGAGCATCGGCGAATCATTTTGAGTCTGGTGTTCCTCCTCTTCCTCCCGGCGATGGGGAATTGGAATCACCATCGGCGGCCATGGTACAGGAGGACCCGCCACGACCGCGCTCCACGACCGCCTTCCCCTCCTCCTGATCTCGGTATGGATGACTGATTTGCTTGTTCTGTTCCCTTTGTTTCTATGGATTGGATTGCGTTTTTGTATGATTCGATTAAGTTCAGGTGGTGATTTGTTAGGCGATAATAGGGTTAGAAATTTTTAAATCTAGATATCTAGGTCAGTAGGTCTGGTAATGTCGGCTAATCTTTTTCTGTGGATTGGAATTCTAGGAATCGACATGAATATCATTCTACCCATCCTAAGAATGCACAACCGTCGTAGATAGTGGACTGTCTGCTTAGAACCAGAGTTGCTATGGCAAATTTCTTTACCAATAGTCTTATTGTTTGTCTAATTTGTCTTGGTATTTCAAAATGTGGTGCTTAAATGTCAGAAAGTTCTAGTTTTGTTCAACTACCAAGTATCAATTTGTCGTTTGAGCTGTAATGGTATGGCAGTTTGCCAACTACTAATGTGCAAACTTTGTACATACAAGTTGGTCATTTGATCCAACCACACAGTAAGCACAGTGTGTCATCTGTTCCGACAAGAATATGTAACGGAAATAGTGGTGATGTATTTCTAGATTAGGATATTCTCCGCTTCCCGCCAAAATAATATACAACGGCCTAATGGAAATAGTAATAATTTAGGATGGTCTTTGCTTCCCACTAAAATTTAAAACACCGCCTCTCCTTATCCACTAGAGGAAATATAAATGCTGAAACATAGCCAGGGTGCACCACTTCTGTACTTGAATCTTGCTAGACGCCAACCTGCCACCTAGCACGGTTGCCATTCAGGCCAACTATTGCTAACTAGGAACTAGACACCACCATGTTACCCCGTCACCCACTTAGCACCTTTTTGAACACTACTAAATTGCCCTAGCTCATTTCGTTATTACATGGGGGGTTCCAACTCACCTGGACCTTAATGTGGCATGACTAGGAGCCTAGCCTAGAAAATTTTTTTTAGAGCAAGGGCCATTCCCACATTTCCATTAACAGAAATGCAGCTACAGAATTCGGGAAAACATAAAAGGAAACCACCAACTATCCTGATAGAGTTTACATTGGTCAATTTGGGTTGGGTGTCAACACACAACCCCCTAATTGCCAGCAGCCAGCACAAAGTAAAGACACAGGGAGCCACTCTAGGGACTCAGCCAAACAGAACCCAGCAAAAAAGCTCAACCCAGATCAAAAGCCCACCCTACTAAGAGACTTCCAGTTTTTTGTCAACAGTGAGAAGAATGGGGTCAATGCTTCAGGTGAATTGAAAGCAGAGCACATCATGCTTAGAAATCAAACTCCAGAGTGAAGCCTTCCAGCCGCTTCATCCCAGCCCTCCAACCGAACCTCGTGTTGAAAATGTCATTTACAAATTGCTTTAGGAGCTGCCCCCCCACCCCCCCACCCCCCCCCCCCCCCACAGCAGCCTTCTTCGCTCTTCCTCCTGCATCTGCAAATCAGCCCAACATGTAATCCAATGACGCATAATAAATCAAATCTGTGGGATCTCCAGGAAGTTGTTTCTTAAAACAAGCAGAATTTCTTGTTTTCGAAATGACCCATAAAATAGCAGCCACACCAACCCAAATGAGATGTTTCATGTTTTTCTGAAAGCTCTACATCCAACTACCAAAAAGATGATTTATGTCTCTAAAAGGTTTCAAGTTAAAGGCTACAAACAACATTCCAGATCAGTTTTGCAATTCGGCATTCGATAAAAAGGTGTTGCATTGATTCTGCTGTATCATATAATTGACAAAATTTATCCCCCTTCTACCAACCTCTTCTAATTAAATTATCTTTCGTTAGTATACTGTTTCTCAAAATAAGCCACAGGAACACTTCGATTTTTCAAGGGGATCTTGAATTTCCAGATTTCCTATGTGAAAAATGAATGCTTATTTTCATATCTTTGTAAAAATATTTAACAGTGAATTACTCTATCTGCTTTTGACTCATCAAAAGTTAAGCTGATCTGAGTAAGCTTACCCTAGGAAATGGAAGGCGGAGTTATGTTATTATGATCATACAAGTTATTTCTCTAAAATTAGGATAATTCTAGAAGCTTCAAAATAGTAAAACCACATTAACACACAATGCAAAAAAGTACAATAAATGTTGGTACTAAAGAAGGCTTGTCTTTTGAGGATGTCAAGGATAGGAGATTAAGGGAATTGTCCTCTGTAATGGCGTTGCTTTGCATTAGCCATATCACAGCCATCTGGTTGAGGTTGTACTTAATGGAGAAAGAAAACAAAGCGCTGTACTTACTGCACATTTCTTTAGAAAAATGAGGAGCCACAAAATATTAAGTTGACTATCAATAACTTCTTATGTGGGCTTAACATTTTTTTCCTCAAGCGGCAGGATCCTAAATCTATGATATACTTGAGGAAACATTGTTGGTACTTGGTATTAAAATAAACTATTAGGTAACTGACATAGCCATGAAAGGTGCAATTGTGTGGCGACAAAGGAGCATCCATTAGAAGGAATGCTAGTATTTTAGGATTGAACCCTTTTATCTAGTACTTTGAATGATTCTTCTGTTTAGTCTGTTATGAAAGTAACTGTTGGGTGTCTTTTTTTTTACATACTTTTAGAAGAGATGCTGCTATTTCAGGCGATTTTTAAAATCTGTAGGTGATTTCTAAATCTGTACAGTGGTGTTCAGATGGTGATTTGTTAGGGAAGACTCGGGTTGGAAAATTTTCGATCTAGATATCTAGGTCTAGTACTTTCTTGTTGGCTGACGATTTTCCTGTGGATTGGAGTTCTCGGAATGGGCATGAATATCATTTTGTTTCCTGCCACCCTAAGAATGACACAACTGTCGTAGATGGTGGACTGTCCTGTACTGTGTGATGCAGTCAATTTAAGCTTAGAACCAGAGTTGCTACTGCGACTTCCTTTACCATTAGGCTTATTATTGTTGGTCTAATTTGTCTTACTATTTGAAAAGGTACCCAAATGTCAGAAAATGCTAGTTTTATTTGACTACCAAGTATCAGTTCATAGTTTGAACTGTAATGGTATTGCAATAAGCAAACTAATCCCTCTGTTTTTTTATTTGACTTTGGTTAGTTCAACGTCAAATAAAAAAAAAGAGGGAGCACTTGTGTGCGCATATCTTCAGAAAAAATGAGGGGACACAAAATGTTAAGTTGGCTATTGATAACTTCTTATGTGGCCATTACATTTTTTCCTCAAGCAGCCGGATCCTAAATCCATGATATGCGTAAGGAGACATTATTAATTTCTATTAAAAATAAACTATTAGATAACTGACATACTCCCTCCGTCCCAAAAAAAGGCAAACCGCGGGTTTGCGTGCCAACGTTTGATTGTCCGTCTTATATGAAAATTTTTTATAATTAGTATTTTCATTGTTGTTAGATGATAAAACATGATGAATACTTTATGCGTGACTTATCTTTTTAATTTTTTTCATAATTTTTTCAAATAAGACGGATGGTCAAACATTGGACACGGAAACCAGGGTTTGTCTTTTTTTGGGACGGAGGGAGTAGTCATGAAAGGCGCAGTTGTGTGGCGACAAAGGAGCATCCCTTAGAAGGAGTAGTGTTTTAGTACTGAACCCATTTATCCAGTACCTTGAATGGTTCTTCTGTTTAGCCTGTTAGGAAAGTAACCGTTGGGTACTTTGGTGTCTTTGTTTCCCATACTTTTAGAAGGGATGCTGGTATTTTGGGATTTGACCCGTCCAAAATCTGCAGGTGATTTCTAATCTGTACAGTAGTCTTAAGCAATCTAGCCAGAAAATTTTTGTATATGTTATTTGTTTGTATAAACATTTTAGAATTCATCATCTCCCTGCATTTTTATGCTGCTACAATGAATCTGATATTGCTTTCGTATTTACAGGACACAATTGCCACCCAATCCCATTATGGGAAAGGGAATTTTGCATTTATGTTGGCGGCATTTCTTGGCACAGGTTCTGTGACAACAAGAGATATGTCTGCATGTATAAGAACATAGAGCAATGGGATGACTCAGAAGCCTTTGATAATTTTAAGAATGCAAAGGCTAGATTCTGGGCTAATTACCATGGTCAACCTTCAGACATATCTTTGCCAGACCCTGATATGTATATTGACAAGGTTGACCACAATAGCAAGATCGACCCTGAGTTGATAGCTGACCTGAATATGGTACGGTTACCATTCGAGATGGATGATGAGTTACTCCCAGCTGATGGATTGGGCAGCACTGATACAGATAACAAGTGCCAGCAGAGGCAGAACCAATCTAGAAACTGGGACATCTATGTAGAAAAGCCCACCGAAGTTAACAAGTGGGAGCAAGATTCAAGATCCAACATGGACTGGGGAACAAAGCATGAATCTTGGAATGAGTGGAGTAAAAATTGCTCTGGTTGGGGTAGTGCCTTGGCGGATTCTAGTTGGGGCAATTGGAATAATAGTAACAATCATCATTCATCAAATAACAGGGCTAGCTTCAATGGGATCAACAGGAATAGATACCAGGACCCAAGCAGCATATCTGGAAGGAAAAGGAATAGTGGTGGGTACATTCAGCAAAGAAACAGTAGACAGAGAAACCAGATTGAGGGCTACCAAGGAAGTAGATGGTGAGACCCTAAAGAAAAGAACATCTCTTTACATAATAGTGTAAATGGCCACACAATAGAATGTGGCTTCTTAGTTAGTAGTTTGAAAGATTGGATGAGAAATGAATCCTTGTGATCTTTTTGTCTGGAGCAGTTGGCAATACTTAGCAGTTTGAACAATTATACATGTAAAGAGATGTTTGAGTTATTTTTCCTGTTAGTCTATGGAAAGAAAGTTTCTTCATGTTGTTTGAAACATTTTGTTTTTGGGTAATGGAAGCAGAATGCTGCCATTTCGTTGTAAAGGTGATCACCATAAGTTAGTTGCTTTTTTCCTTTCTTTCTTTCTTTCTTTCTTTCTTTCTTTCAAGTTCCATGAATATGTGGTTTGTTCAAGTGAAACATAGAATTCATGTACTAGTAGCATGTTAGTACTAACATATACTCCACTGATAAATTGATAATTCGTGTCTACTGCTAATAAAAGATACTCATAACTAGATGAAAGAGTTTAGTACAGTACGTGTTACTAGCATACTATGTTACTAACATAAATTTTATTACAACTATTAAACACAAATTTGTGTGCAAGTGTACTCATAACTATAAGTTTTCTTTCATCTGATTAATATGTTAACCATAAGTGAATTCACAACTTTCAAGGGTTAATACCAGATTCATCACATAGTGTTCTTCACACTTTCCTTAAAAAAGTGTTGTTCACATGCACGCACACTCACTCTTCCACACACACGCACACACATACACAAAAACTTCCACACACATATATTCTCTCGCAAAAAACGATGATCTTTGAAATGATCGATGCTAAAACGGGGGTTTTTAACAAAAATAATACTTCATCTATTTTATATTGTAAGTCACTTTGATTTTTTAGTTAAACCTTTTAAAGTTTGATTAATTTATAAAAATATATAGAAATATTGTAAGAAAACAAATATATTTTTAAAATATATTTAATGTCATAAACTAATTTAGCATTATAGATGTTGCTAAGTTTTTATATAAATTTAGTTTGAAAAAAAGTTAAAAAGATCTATAACATGAAATGGAGTTAGTGGAACTGTTGTGTTACTTACCTTAGGGTGAAAACAAACCACAAGGGGTGTTTTGCAAAAACTAGGGGAAAATGCTTGCAGTCAAACGTCTGACGCACCAAACAAAATTGGACGTGATCTGCTCACGACCTACATACTATATGTCTGCTCTCTTATCTTTTCTCTTAGCCTAGTTTATGGTTGCACATTTCTCTCTCTTTCTCTTACTTTTCTCCTTAGTACTTCACTCTTCACTCTAACATATAAGTGTGCATGTATGTAAAAAAAAGGGCTATGCATGCATTACTGCATTAGTAACTTCAAACTATTTTTCTCCTAAAATATTTATTAAATCTACAATCTGATTACACTATTATATCCGTTGCAATTAAATCTTTACAATAAGATCTTAGTTGATTACATTTTGATAAAAAATAAATAAGAAGAACAAAACACTGTTAAATCCTAATTGAAACATTTTTATTCTATATATGAAACATCGAGTTATAAGTGTTGCAACACCGTAACTATTTATTGAGACACTAAAAAAACGCCGGTGCAACATTTACGTTAAATTAGTGAAACATTAGAAAATACTTATTGAAACATCTAAATAATATCACGTGCAATATTTATAAAGATCTACTGCAACATAAAACTTAAAATGTGCAACATAGTTAAATTCCAATTGAAACATTTATTTCTCACACGTGAAAGATCCAAGTCCAAACGGTTGAAACATTTATTTTTTTTCTTAGAATATAATGATGTGATATCTTGTTATATAGATTTAATTACAACGAATACAACAGAGCAATCGGATTGTAAATTGGATAAATAGTTTTTGAGAAAAAAGTTTGAAGCATGTCACTATCCATGTACCTCTCTCATTTGGTACTGAGCATGCACAGTTAAACTTTTCTTGTTGCTGCTCTTCTCTGCATGCGCATGTAATAGTTCTTTTAATCGGATGGACATGAAGGGATGGACGTGGATTCAATAGTAGAACAGGCGTCCGACGAAAACAATAGCATCGGACGTCCGATCCGTAGTCGTCTCCAAAATTAGGATAACCTTTGTGAAAAAAATAGCCCGAAACAGGGGTTTTTCTGTAAACATTATTGCCGCCCGTCAGTGCGCGGAACACAGCGATTTCTGCCGTTGGATCGATCATCAACGGCCCATCGAGCACCTCCGGCCGAGCCCCGCCTCCCCGTCAACAAATCCGGCCGCCTCCGCCCTTCCCGACGTTTCCAGTTTCCCTTCCTTCCTTCCTCCGCGTCGCTTCCCTTCCTTCGCGCGGCGCTGCTCCGGTAGGGTTTTAGCCGGCGATCTCTCCCCTCTCGCGCGCTCGGCGACTGAGAATGGTCGAGGTGGAGGAAGTCAGCAACAAGATGCAGGTGCAGATGCGCCTCCACCCCGCCGCGGCGGCGGAGGAGGAGGACGCCGACCTCCCGCTCCCCGCCCTCTTCGACAAGGCGTCCCACCTCCACTCCCTCGCCTCCAGCTCCTCCCTCGACCAGGTTTTCCTTCGATTCACCCCCCTTTCTCCTCATCCCCATCAACCCTCTCGTGGCGGTTTTGTGCGAGCGCTCACTGTGATTGCTTGGTTTGGGATATTTGCAGGAAGGGATCCGCAAGGGGGTCGACCTGCTGCGGCGGTGCGACGAGATGGTCAGTAAGGTCGGCCTCTTCTCCTCCAACGAGACCAAGGATGACATCTCCACCGCCAACCTCAAATACCTACTCGTATGTTTGTTTCCTGCACTACATCTGCGTTTATATTCGTTTCTCTTACCGTATCATGTTTGTGCATCTGCGACATGTGGTTATATCTGTGATTCCGATTGATTTTCTTCAGGTACCGTACTACCTTGGGGAAATGACTGAAAGGGTAGCGCAGGAAGATCGGATCCCAGTCCTTAAGGCGTCGCAGGATCATTTGAAGGTTATATCAGTTTGTCCTGTCACATTTAGTTGATTTGGTGCATATTTGTCATGTCTTTCTTATGCCCTTTTCAATTGGGAGCACTCTGTCATCACAACACTCATGTTTCTCATGTTTTAATCACTACGGTTACACAGGAATTCATTTCTATCTGTGAAGCACTGGAGCTTATATCAGAGGATGAGCTTGAAATATCTAGGCAGAAGCAACCTGATACCATGGCAAATCGAAGAGCACAGAAGGTGAGCCTTGACGAAATATTTTTCTCAAATATGTTAAAGGGGTCATCAATCATTCTGCAATTTACGAACACAATAAACTGGGATCCAAATCTATTATTGAGACTGCAAAATCTGGGACTCATAATCTGCTTGACCTTTTCCAAAGTCGGTTAATTTCCACTCTAATTTTCTTGTTTGCCGAACCTAGGTTGCACGGTTCAAGCGCCAAAAGGCTGCAGAAACAAAGCTCCTAGAAATCAAGGAGAGGAAAGAAAGGCGTAGGCGGTCATTGAGAGCAGCTGCTTTATCAGCTCCTATTGAAGCTGGGGAGGAAGATGCTTTTGAGGATGATGGAGAGGAAGAAAGAGAGGTTAGCAGTTAGCACCAGGCATTTAGAACCCATTTACGTAGCAAATCTGATCTTGTTTACCAAATGGAAACATCGTGATATATTCTTAAATTACCACATAGCATATTTGAAAATACCCCAAACTAAAATTAGCTACAATGTACTAGAAGTGGAAGAAGAATATTTACTTTTTCCAGAAAAGAGAAGGAAAGGAAAGGCTTTGTTCTGTTCAATAAAAGATGGAATTTGACAAATTTGATGATTCAAGATAAGTTTTAAAAAATCCCATAGGGAACTGATCACATTTCCTGAATTGACCCATTTTTGTTCAAATGAAACACACAGCGTATTTATTCTGTACTGGCAGATTGTCACCACCAATCTTTTTCCTGTAACAATATGATGCTCATTGCCTTTCCTGTGCTTTTTATATACGATCTCTTACTTTTGTGGGCAATCAACCTTTTGGGATCTGTCGATGTGTGCTTCCAAAGTTTGGGTTCCATGCCATGCCTGTCATAACTCACTTTGATGTACAAATGATAAATGGTTATGCCGTGGTTTTGATTCTTTTTTTTTTTGTTCTATGTTGCAGGCATGGTTAGCTACTATCTCATTGGCTCTATGCAAGGTTTGTGTTTTATGGGCAAGAATGATTCTCTTATACTGCTTGGGATGTTTATTTGCATTCTTTTAAGCTACTGTGCTCGCTTTGGTTATCCTGATCATCAGACGCACTCATTTCTACTTCATTTTATAGGCTTTTGACCTTCTTGACATGTTAAAGAAGGAAGAAGAAATGCTTCCGGCAGTAAAAGAAAGGAAAGCGAAGGTAAAACAAATGAATAAAGTTTGCCAATTTCTCGTCAATAGTATCTTTGGTTGATCCTTTCCAGTATCATATTGGCCTTTTAACTTTTCTTCTATAACCGTTCTGTACATTTCTGGTTGTGTTTTTACTGATACAATTATTGAACTTCGCTTTGCCTTGAGCTTATGTTGTAGTAGAGCTTACCTTCACCAAGTAGACCATGACCAAGTAGGTAGCTGGATAGTTGTATACAGTAATTCTGTTTGAAAAAAATTATACACCGGATTCTGAGTTAGGAGATACAATTAAATTAATTGTCATAATATGATAATAACTTGCCATTGCAAGTATTTCATCACACTTCTCTCTCTCTCTCTCTCTCTCTCAGTGTCTGCAGAGTGCTGAGTGTTTTGTTGTTACTACATGCAAGTAATATTAGATGTTTGATTTTGTTTTCATGATCCTTTTATAGCACTCGATGGTAGATGTTCTACCGTAAGAAAAAAACAATTAGATTTTTTTTTATCTTTGCTTCCTTTGTGTTGCATGTCTGTTTCAATAAATTCTGCACTTACATGGAGGTTTCCTTTAGTAATGAAATAATTTCCTGCTCATGATGTTTTAGGATGGTAATGCATTTGCTCGTGAAATGCTTGATGAACGTACAAAAAGGGCTGAAGCATGGCACCATAATGCTGCCAACCGTGCACCATACTCCAAACCAGCTGATCCAATCACTTGTGCAACATTTGCTCAAGATGTCATTGAAGGTAGAGCAAGTGTTTCACAAGCACATGAGCACAAACACCAGCCGCTGATATTTGGCCCTGCAAGTCTTGTTGGTGGAGGACTAACCAGTGAAAGAGAGAGAATGGCAGCACAAGTTTTTCAGCCAAGTTATAGGTATGCTTTAAAATACTACTACATACCTGGCTGAAACTGCACTGCTTCTTTTTATTGTGATGGTGAACTTCGGTTATGGCAGAATGTGGAGGGGCATTATTTGTGGCAACCTTTAATGCATCATACTAGTCATACTTTGATATATTTGTAGGAACTTTGACCTCCTTTTTCGTTGAGCATTACTCGATGAGCAAATTATTTCTTGGTAAATTTGTAAAGTGGTCCTTTACATTGTATTTGCTTCACCACATTAGTATGTGACCATGTTTATTCAATCGTAGGTGTTTCCTTGTCCTGTTGTTGCATGTTCTGCCATAAGTCCGTGACAAATTCGTGGTTTACACTGTTGATATCATTCATTTTTTTCATGCTGGAAAGGCACCATGTTTAAATTTGCTATTCAGTGCAATACTAGATTCACTGACAATAAACTGTTGTCTTGTACTCTGTTGTGACTACGAACACTTGGTGCAATCGTATAGATGCTGAGATAGTGATTCGTAGGTGTGACCTTATGTTTAGTCATAATCTATGAAAAATTCCAAGAAATGATACTATTCTGCTGCAATTTCTACATTTGCTCATAAAAAACATTAGATTTCCCCTGCAGCAATTAAGTGTTGAGCTATAGATCATCTCTATTAAAGTGATCTTGCATTGTTCAGTCCTAAAAGTTAGTGAAAATATGCATATGAGACTATCCTTTGATCCAATAATTCTTAGGTTGCCAACGATGAGCATAGAAGAAGCTGGCTTACGTGAGATGAAAATGATGGAGAAATGGCAAGAAAGAACTGCCAAGATGATTCAAGAATCAAACTCCGCATGGCACAAGGATGGCAGTCGGTCAGCCCAAGAGGACGAGGACGCCGAAGAGGAGAAAGCGAGAGGATGGGATGACTGGAAGGACGATAACCCTCGTGGTGCAGGCAACAAGAAGCTCACTCCCTGTGGCTAAATTATATGCTATGGCAATTCTATTGAACTTACATCTGAAACTGAAGCTCGTGTAAAAATATGTGGTTTTTACTAACTTTCCTTACTGCGGCATTTGTTGATTGCTGAGTAATAATGTGTTCCATATGTATATTATAATTGTGCATGGTTTCCTTCTGCCAATATATGGGCAACCAAGTAATGCCAGAAAAGCTGATTTGAGAAGCAAACATACTTGCTCGGTACAAGGATGTCACACTCGTCAGCCACGAGCCCAAAGGGTAGATCACCCAATTGAGCACGTTGGCTTATCTCCATATTTTTCTCAAGATTAAGGTGTCTCCTTGTCCCATATTTGGTAATATTCATGGGTGATTAAGACGTTGCGAAATGCTTACGGAACTTCAAGTAGTCTTACACTTTGGTGGGTTTGCAGGGGGCACGAAGAAGACAATTATGTGATACAAAAGCCAAACAAATGACAAACCCAACTTATACTGCTAATCGACCTGTTATTACTCGAAGCAGGTTGCAATAATTTGATTCATAGAATTACAGTACACATATCCTTCACTCATTTTCATGAATACAACACATGTCCGGCTGTTCGCGTCAAACATTAGTACATGATAGTTCCTTCTATTCTCTTTCTACTTGTAAAAGCTGTGGATGAAACAACAAGCCAGTTCCTTTAAACTTGATCTCGGTGATCTCATCAATTTTTATTGCCATCTCCGGTGTCAGATAGTTCCTCCAATCTCCGACTACTCCACACCGGAAGAATATGTTGTTCGGTACGTCTTTCTCGATAAAGTCAGTGCCCCCGACAGATTCACATCTAACCTCGACGAGCTCTCCATGGCACAAATCTCCACAATCTTCCTATCCACTCCAGCCTCTTGCTCCTCAACCGTGAACGGGTGCCCAACAAACTCGGCCAAACGTCTCAATAGGCCAAGCGTGTCAGCTGCAAGCTCCTCGTAGGTCAAGAAGAACACCTGGCTTGGCGTCTCGACGTGCCACCGCCAGTAGCCGAGGACGTGCTCCCAAAACGGCCCGAAATGCGAGATGCCATTGCAGAATTGCCGGACAGCCACATCAATGTTCCATGATACGAATCTATTACAGAAGTGCCAGAGAGAGACAAAACAATCCTTGGGATCCCGGCACAGGTACACCACCTTGCTGCCGGAGGCGGCAATGGAGTCCGGCAGCGATTGGCCGGGATGTGCGTCGTCAAGAGCCTTGGTTCCGGGAGCGAGCTCAGATCGGGGATGCGGTCGTTGACGAACAACTGGGACTCCAGAAAAGGGACGCTAGCTCGTGGGCGTCGTGGTGGAGAGCAGAGTACATAAGCGCCTTGAGCCATGTGGTGCCGGACTTGGGGAAGGTGGCGATGAAGACGTCCGTGGTGCGCGCCATCAGATGCCTCTTGATGGCCATGGCGCTCACAACCCCCCGCCTGGACATGTACCATCCGTCAGGGTGGCGACAGTATGGTTGGCCGATGCCGCTGACTGCCGCCGGGAAGGTCTCCACGACTTGCCGGAGTTGGTCATAGATTTCCATGTGAGACGTTCCGTCGGCCGCTTCGGCAGTTGAGGAGGAAGCCATGAAGTGTGTGTAGTCCTACGAAAACAATAATGAGTCTTAGTCCCGTGAACCTGACAATATATGATTGAGATGTAACTTGCAAACATACATCTAAGAGAAGAGACAAATCCCAGCAGAGTTCTCAAGCTAGCTGGTACTGATAATCCACCATTAATTGATTGTTAGAGTCTGTACATCCGTACTTATGTGACCTATTTTTCATTCCTTAATTCCCTCCTCTCAAATTATGGTGTTAGGTTGAGAAATTTCATGAACATGGGGGTTAAACTTTACCTTGCAAAAAAAGTTGTTTTTTCTGAGGGTCAAATTTATCATGGTGTCTAGTAGTAAGATCAGCTTTAATTAACTATGCGCACCGAAACAAGGGTTTGGTAGTGATGTAATTGTGAATTACAGTCTTTCTTTTCAGAGATGAAATCATGCAAACTACTTTCTAGACTAGAAGGAAATGGACAATCATCTCAATAAAGTATATATACGACATACTCCTAGTTGCTAAGTGTAAGATCAGTTCAGCTAACTATAGATGTGACTCGAAAAAATAATTTGGAGGAAAACAAATGGAAGAGCAGATTAGCAGGTCCGTAGCATATCATCCTTATAGCCTTGGACAGTTGGACTAGAATCGCAGTTTCTCTTTGCTTGCCTCCCTATGCCAATTGAGGTAGCTCGTTTTACTGCTCTTAAACAAATTGTTTTGGACATTGAATGGTCCTTCGGTTCAAGTAATAATCAATGGTTTAATGTTTTTTGCTTTTTTCCCTCAGTATTTTTATTTTTATTTCTAATTTATTAGAGTGTCACATGGTGGTATAGAAATGTTTCGGAGGATGTTTAATAATCTTTAGCATATCAAGAAACAGTGTGGATCATTTGAACGTTATTAGTGAATTTTGATGAATGATCTGAAAACTGTATGACGATAGTTACGTACACCAAACTAATCCACAAAGCCAAACAACCTAACAACCCAACTCACGGCTAACCGGCAACATTTTATTATATTACTTGCAATGATTTGATTTACAAATTTCCAGTACATATATGTATTTCTTCACTCGTGAATACGCAAGAGATTGTATCTCTATTAAACACCGAAAACGGCACACAAACTATTTTTTGAAAGAAAAAACATATACTCCTAGTTTGTTTTAATTTATTCTCTTTTTACTTGTAAAAACTGCGGATGTAACAACAAGCCAGATCCTTTAAACTTGCTCTTTGTAATCTCATCAATCCTCCTTGCCATCTCTGGCGTCAGGTGGTTTCTCCAATCTCCGACCACGCCACGCCGGAAGACCGTGTTGTTTGGGACAGTGCTATCGACTATGGTGATCGTTCCCGACCGATTCACCTCTAATCCGGACATGTTCTCCAATGCGCAGGCCTCCACGATATTCCTATCCACCCGTGCTTCTGCTCCTCCGTCGTGAATGGACATCCGACAAACTCGGCAAGGCGTCTCAACTGGCCGAGCGTGTTGGCGACGAGCTCCTCGTAGGTCAAGAAGAGCACCTGGTTCGGCTTCTCGACGTGCCACCTCCAGTAGCCGAGGATATGCTCCCAGAACGGCCCAAACTGCGAGCGCCATCGCAGAATTGCCGGTGCGCCTCGTCGATGTCCCACGGCATGAACCTGTTCCAAAAGTGCCAGAGCGAGACGAAGCAGTCCTTGGGGTCCCGACAAAGGTACACCACATTACAGCCGGATGCAGCGACGGAGTCTGGCAGTGACTGGGATGGGATGTGCGTCATAAACAACCGCGGCGAAGGTAAGGAGCTCAGGTCAGGGATCCGGTCATTGGCGAACACCTGGGACTCGAGGAAAGGGACGAGCTGGTGCGGGCTGTGCGCCACCAGCTCGTCAGTTCCGCGGTGGAGAGTCGAGTACAGAAGCGCCTTGAGCCAAGTGGTGCTGGACTTGGGGAAGGTGGTGAGGAAGATGTCGGTGGCGCGCGCCGTCAGGTGCTCCTTGATCACCATGGAGCTCACAACCCCATTCGTGAACGTGTACCACCCGTCCGGGTGGCGACTGCACGGGAGGCCGATGAGGCTGGGAGCCGACGGAAAGGTCTCTGCGACTCGTCGGAGTTGGTCGTATATCTCCTTATTATGAGCTGTTGCTTCGTCGGCCGACTCGGGTGCAGAAGAGAGCCGGAAGGAGGGCGCCATGAAGAATGAATCCAGCAGAACACCAATGACCAATGTATTTTTTTTGATCCACTGGGAGCATGAAGTGCAAATATATAGTACTATCTCGGAGAGGAGAGTAGTCCGGAAGTAATAATAAAGTATTCAAGTTGACATTAATTAGTATTAACTTGTTATTATGTCTAGGTGTTAGCATCTTTTTTAGATCATTGAAGATTTCGTTGAACAATAGCATCTCTAGTTATGTAGATTAATTTTATCTCTTTTTGTTTCTTTAATGCACGTGATGCTCAACTTGAGATTGAAAAAAGTTGTTAATGCTTCGGAGGGTTAAATTTACCGTGACATATGGATTTAGCTCTTAGCGGAGGGTATTATCTTGTCCATTGTATAATTTTTTTTTAGAAAGTTCAGGGGGGAGCGGGGGAGTTTCCCCACCTGAATTTTATAAAATGAAGGAAGACTTGCAGTTACATGTTAAATTACAGAGTTTTGAAAAGCAGACGCTAGTGTTTCCTTCCACGAGGAAACAATGCCCCTATCATCCGAATTGAAACGCTCTGCTCAAAGAGTTGCATCATCTATACATTTAGTTACTAGTCTACGCAAGGATGTTTGCAGCCCCCTGAAAACAACATCATGCCTGTGGTTCCACAGAACCCAAAAGCAGAGAAAGAAGAAGACTCTGAAGTGCTTGATGGGAATGCCATCTAGGCGGCCTAAACTTGCGAGATTGGCTGAGCTTGTCAGTCCTGGGACAATCTGAATGGTCGACCAGAACGCCTGAGCAAAAGAACAATCAACACAGAAATGAAAAGCAGTTTCTTCTAAAACACCAAAAGATCGCAGTTCGCGGACGAAACAATTTTCTTTTTTTACAGGTTCTGCTTTGTGGGGAGGCGTTCTTTGGATAATAACCAAATGAAGAACTGAATCTTCGGAGGAGATTTACTTTTCCAAATTATTTTCCAATTTTGGTCGTCTTGGCGGTCTTCATGCAAGTACTCGTAGATTTGCTTGGACTTCAAGATGGTGGCGTGTGGAGCATTGAGGGCTCCCCTTTCGTCCAGTTAATCAACTAGTACGAAATCACTCAAAGCGAGAAGGAGATGTTGTAGCTGAGAAGGAGATCTTGTCCATGCAGATGGTGGTATTATCTTGCTCATTGTATTATGATTGATGACAAATGTGAGAACGATGTATATCAAAACACATTCAATGTTATATTTAATGAAACTAATTTAGTGTAATTGCTAATTATTATTATAGGTAGATTTGATAAAATGTCAAAACGATTGATAAGATGAAGCGAATGGAGTAGTTGCTAAGTTAGTGAAACCTATATAATCTTGGACATAGTAAACTATGACAAAATATGACTGGCAACCTAACGCGTCGTATTTTACTATGACATTGATGAGTGGATTAGCTCTTAGCAAGATGCATTATCTTGCCCATTTTATAGT